TTTGACTATTCAGCTTTTTTGTTACTGCAGCTGACTATCATATGACGGCTCCTCGGATAGACGGAAGCGAGGAACACAGCGTAAACATGACTGCAAACATGGATTACGAATGTATATGTGGCTTAGGATTTTTCCGAGTAGTTCTGACAAGAAAAAGGAGAAAATTTTGCACAATTTTCATGTAAGGTTTGATAAACAGCCTTTTGGATAGTTCGCTTGTTATAATTTCTACGCATCAGCTTCGCGAAGGTGTTGCGACACGTTTGCGAGCGGTGGCTTGGGCATCTTTCCAAAGTATTCTGAAGCCAGATAACGAGTAAATATAAGCAGTTTGTTCAGGCAGAGTGGCAGAAGAGGAAAGTTTGAAATTTTGTTGACATCAACAGAAGAGGATGATATTTGTTTTATCCAAATCTAGATTTGGCCTCACGAGCGTTATCAAATTTGGCAAAAGCTCGCAAACGTGGCGCAGGACCTTTGCGACGCGGCTGCAATACGCCTTCAGTATAGAATGCGCTAGTGAATCGTACGGAAAGGGTTGAGAATCTCCACTCCAGTTTGACAAGAAGTATACCCCAGACAAGCAGCAACAGCTTTGAACTGGCCAATGAGGGGTTTGTGCAGTTTATTGCGGTTCTATCCTTGGACAAGTTATAAATCAGAAATTACAAAGACGTATTTACTACATTGCCTAAAAGAAATTATTAAAAGAAACAGTTGAGTTAGAATCTACAATCAAAGAAGGCCACGTCAGCATTGGCCTTTCACTAGTGGATCTGGGAGTCTCGGTAGCGGAAGTCTGCAGCTGCAATGCATCCAGCCATCTACTTGATAGCGTTTTCATCCGTATCAGCAATTTCACTCAACTCCTACTGGAATGAGAGCGATACCAGACGACTGTCAGGTATATTGGAGGTGAGGTTATGAGCTTATGAGGTTATGATTCTCATCGTAGTCCACACAGGGCATGCTCACAACCACCAGGCACAATGGCCTTGAATCCCTTCATTATATAATGAGGACGCTAAAAGCACTCGGAGTAGCACCACCTCGCGATTCTGCAATTGTGACTTTACTTTTGTATTCCTTTGCTATTTCACTTATTCGTTTAGGTAGCCTGTGAAGCTGTGAAGAAAGCAGAGTTGACTGACTTAGACACCCTTTACCATGCGGTTGCTCTGCTCAGCGTTCTCCCGGATTGCGTTTTGGACAGCGTGGGTGGCGCTAAGATGAGTTTTGATATTCTGATATTCTTGAACATGACCTTCACATGAAAGACTACCTTGGGTGCTTGAAGCGATTGTTTTGCACAATCAGTAGATCTGACGGTCAAAAGTGCTTTGGCGCTGGCGATAACCATGTTCGCCTAAATGTTGTCTACACCGCATGGGTACTATATCAACTGCACATCTAACAAACGTTCTTATATGCTCATCAGAGTGACCTCATAACAGGGAAGCCGCCTACTCTCGGCAAAGTCTCGTTTTCTTCAGGAAATTGTGGAAAATGTGATATTGGGAAAAGCTTCCAGTGGTGAGAGCTTGTATCGAGCCCTTTCCATAGCTGATCACCTAAAGATCAAGGTGATGGAGCTTTTGCATACATCTTCTGTTTTGACTTCAATTTTAGGTAGATCACGCTGCATTCGACAAGGCTTTGACATCATCTATGAAGATAGATGATGATCCTACCAAGTCAGTCGTTTCCGAATGAAGCATGTTTATCTAGACCAATAACTGGATCGCTTCAGTTTGGCTTGGATTATGAACGCAGCAGCGTTTTTGGAAAAGGATGTGGGAGCAAAATATTTTGACAAAATTGTAAACCTTGTCGTGCAAGCAGATGAAGTGGATGGGAAGTATTTGAATGTAAAAATCTTAAAGGAAGCGCAGCTCTCCGAAGATTTTTTCTATAATTTAGTTTGATAGTAGCATTGTCACCACTGCTATCGCCGTTCGAGCAATCGTAGCGTTGGCTGAAAAGCAGGGAAGGAAGCCAGCTGTTTCGGAGGTTCATTTTAAATTTCGAAGAAATTTTGAATATTTTATCAGGCATATCAAAAAGTTTAGCAGTTTGTAGATATTACAAGTATGATTCGTGTCATTTTAGAAAAAACTACTCCAAATGGCAAACTACCTGTTATCTCGCAAACACGCAACTGCTCCAAAAATTACTTACCACCTGTTGGGAGCTCTAAAAACTTTGACAGATAATCTCGAATTTGTGCCTGTAGTGGTATCGCTTGAAGGGCCTGTAGAAGTGGCTTCAGATCAGGTGACTCATGTACATCTATACCACATGTCTACAGTATCACAGTGCATACCGTAGCCCATCAAAATTGCTGTGACCAACGTCTTTGGAGAACCAGTCGATGTTGACGGTGTTCGTGCTGAAGCTTTTGCCGTCTTAAATCAAACCCTTATAAGCATCTTGGAGTTGGAACCTATGCCATCGTATGCTTATATTGAAGCACAGAGCTCTTTGATTACAGAAAATATTTTTTCTAGAGACTCAAGATTCTGGACGATCAATCCCGACCGGATTCCGATTATAAACGACTTTGTAAGACTGGATATAAAAATCGAGAGCAAGGTAGGCTGTTCTGCTGATTATCTTCGCTGAGAAATTTCGCATCTTAGGATAAGCGCCTTATTGGAACAACCAGTTCCCATGTTCTGATCAAAAGAAGTCGGAGTATAATGGTTGACGACTTTAAAATTGGAGTCGCAGAATTGGGAGAAGAAATTCCCGAAAACTCTTTGAAGAGGTATATGCTTAATCTAACAAGCAATGCTCTGAAGAGCATCTAGAAACTTGAAATAGCGCCTTCTTCTCGTATGCCTCATCAGTAAAAACACGGTTTTCAATGTATATCTTATTGTAAAGTTTATTATTGAATCACTAGAACATATAATTCTGCTGTCTGCGAACCATGCTCTCGTCTCTAGCGATAAACGACGATATTTACTGCGCAAGAAAAAAGCTGTAGATGTAATGGCAATGGTATAAAAGTGGCCGCTGTTAAAGGGCAATCAATTATTTTTTTCAATTAGGAAGGGCTAAAAATTGAGATAAATATGCCTTTTCGAAAAGTGTTGAGTTTCTTACAAATGGTACACTTCAAAACAAAAGTCTAAGTCTGAATCTGTCGCTGTCTTCATGAGAGCTAATTGTTGCAGAAAAATTCATTGCTATGAACCTCTAAGTTTATTATGTTCTTTCGCTATTGAGAACCAAGAGTGCCAAAAGCGACATGATCCTATGTTCGCTTCTAGGGTCATTGCATTTCACAAGATCAAGGATGTACTGAACGTAGACAGTGCAAAGCATTTACACCTCTCCTTCTCAATGAAGTACGAGAACGATTCCTACTTGAAACCTCATCAGGTTGATTAAAAATTGCATTCAATTCATTCATGATAGTTGTCAAAATCTTCCAGTGTTTCGTGATGTTCAAGCACGGAAATGGACACGAAGTGTTCTATACTGCAAATTTAGTGAAGAAGGGCAGATATGCAGTTGACATTGTAAGTTCAGCTCCACTGATACTGACAAACTCCAAA